CTGAATAATTTCAACCCCCCAAAACCCCAAAACCCCAAGGTACTAAATTAGAATTTAAAAAAAGATAAGTAATCGCTTAATCACAAAAAATAATTTATTCAAAAATAGAAAAGTTTATATAGCTATTTATAGAAATTTCTCATTGCTTGCTTTAATGGTTTCTCAAATTAAGAACGAAGGGATGGATGTTTTATGTTCAATCCTATTGCTGCTATTTATTCTATTGCTACTACTATGCTATTGATCTTTTTGAATTGGTAAATTTAGCCCAGACTATTTTTTAGATCTGAACCTTCCAGATTTTCTTCTTAGCCTTTTCTTGCTTGTATTATATGTTCCTTGAACGTGGAAGCTCTGAGACATTCTTTCAAGAGCATCCTCATTAAACTACTCAATTAAAGCTCTTCTTAATTTACTTTAATTTGTTATCCTATATGTTTGAGAATTAAAAAGTTATTGATTACTTGTCAAAATTTGATTAGATTTTATACGTTCCAGGTCCAGGAGCCATTCTAACTTCACTCTCTGATATATTGAGATACATTCTTTCTGCTTTCTTGGCACTGGCTAGTTTTAACATCGGGGCCATTTTCATTCCAATTCCAAACCCAATGTGCTTATACTTGCTGTTTTCAATCTGAGAATAGGATGGATTATATTATGCAGGCGGAGGATTTTCCCTTGAGATCCTTTCCATTTATGAAAGAAAAGATGCTTGCTTGAAGAGTCTCCCTATTTTCATATCCTTTCCTTTTAGTGAAGACTTAGCTTCATAAGTTCCTGGTCCTGGTGACTAATTCCCATTTAAAAATGATACCTAAGAAGCTGCTCTTGATTTATTAATTGATGGTTATGTTTCAATAGGACCTACCACTGCCTTCTCATAATATTTGTAAGGAAGTCCAAATGAACAATACTTTAGCTTCCTTCCAGATTACTTTGATATTATCTCATCGACTTCATTGTCAAATAATCTGTTTAGTTTATAATGGTTTGGTGAAGGACATTCAGATTTTCTTATATAGCTGGCATCTTTTTTACCAATGCCAAAATTAGTATGTCTTTTCTAAAGAGTACTTGGAATATCATAGTAATTATCTGTTCCTTATATCTATTTGGACTATGCTTTGATTGTACTTTTTTGGCTTAAATAAGATAAATTTGCGCTTTATTTATCCTAAATTTTTGTTAATGATTGAGATTATATTGCTAAGCTTACATCAAATCGCGGAGCTTAAGGGAAACTATACTTTAGGTTTTCATTTCTCAAAGTGTTTTGAGAAATGTTCATCTTGAAACCCCCTTGATAAATAGAATTATAGAGCTTCAGCCTTTATTCATAGTCCTTATCAAGAATTATACTTCGCTTTGAAGATGAGTCCTGAGTAAAATCTAATCTAGACATTTTACGTCCATTAGTTCTAATAAATCATATATCCACAGGATAATTACTTATTGGCGCTCTTCGGTCGTTTTAGGTACTTTTAATGATGTCATACTATAGGTGATTAACCTGAATTTTTCTTCAAAAATGAATTAAGTATTGCTGATTCCTAGTATTGATTGAAATAGCTATTGCTACTTGTGCTCATCGAAATAAAAATTAAAAGTAAATTATAAAATGTTATAAAATATATAATTGTTTAATCGTAGTAAAGAAATGAATATAATGAACTTGGACTACGAGTCGCGCAGTTTGGACATCTGTCAGTTTTGCGGCTTGAAGTACAACGTGGGCGAGCGCATTCCTCGTATTTTAGTTCATTGTGGCCACACTTTATGCACCAACTGCATTTAGCAACTCCACCACAAGAACCGCGTAAGGTGCCCTATCTGCCGCAAGCTCATCAAGCAGCTAGAAAGCGCTGAGAGACTTCCATTGAATATCAACATTCTTTACGAGGTAGTTGAGAAGGACCCTATTCTATCTAAGACTAATTTTGAATTTGAGGAGGAAGACGAGGATACACTCCAGGAAAAGCTATGTGAGAACCACAGCGACCGCGTGAAGCATTTCTACTGCTCTAACCACCTGACTGTTTTCTGTAGGGAATGCATAAAGCAATTTCACTCTGATGATGAATGCTTCGTAGTAGACCTTTATGAAATTCAGAGGATGAGGTAACTTCAAAAGTAGAATATCCAGAAGAACCAGGAGCAGGCGCGTAAACGCAATAAATAATAATGAATAAAGCAGCGTAAGCTGATGATATAGATGTTATTTTTCAAATAAAGATTTGTTATTACTTTCATTTAACACTCATCTCAATATAAAAGACCTTATTCATATTTCAATAGTATTATAAGTTATAAATCAAAATTGATATAATTAATTATCATCATTCTTATTTAAGTATCCTAATACACTATTATTATACTTAGCTCCCTTATCACTGGAAGTTCTTGACCTAAGTCGCAGGATCTATATGCAGCTCTGTCCTTGTTGTTTCTAGCTTTTAGTGTCTCTGTAGCCTTTATCTTGCCTTATGCTATCCATCTTTTTATTATTCCTCTCTAGCAACCTTTCTCTCATTCGATTTCTGGTCAATTTCTAGAAGCATTTCTGCATGAATTGTAGGAATATCCTTTCCCAGAGTTTCAATTACTCTCCTAGCACAGACATCATACACCTTCTTATTCTTAGCTATTATTATACCTTCTCTAATGGTATAATCTGGCTTGGTGTGATCATATATCAAAGGTCTCTAATGAGCATCAGTGACTATTCCCATCCTGGCTTAGATTAATGCCTCAGCTGCACACATATCCCAAAATTTAAACCCTGGAACCAAATTCACATAGTAATCTGCTTTTTAGTCCAATATATAAATGACCTTATTTCCTGATCCAGCTACTTTGGCAACATTAATTGGTTTGATAGCACCCATTATCTGATTCATGCAGTCCTAATTTCTGTTGAAAGTCCCACAGTACCAAATGTTGTAGTCCTTGTCCTCTATGCAATCCTCCATTGGAAATGGTAAGAGTGGAGTCACTCTTTGAATTCTTCTGAGTTTTTCTGGAAATTTGTCCTTAATGAATAGACCACATTCAGGAGTGCCAAAATAAGTTCTTCCTTATTGATAAAATTCGTTGTAGAAGGGCTTATGAATTATTCCAATTCTTGGTCAATGATTCACAGCAACACCAATCATATTTGTAATATGATGGACATGACCTTCAGTAAACCCTTTTGTTCCGTCTAATGGATCGATCCATATAACCATATCTTCCTCAAAGAATTCATCTGGAAATTCATAGAAATTCCAATCAGCATCTGATACTGCTAAGCCGTAAATACTCTCCATCTCTCTTAAATAATCTCTGTAAGCCGCTTGCTAAATTTTGTAATTTTCCAAAAGCATTTTCTAAGAAATGTGAGTTTTATCAATTTCATCTGGATATATATAGGGCTTGTCAGTGGGACAAATCTAACTATAGAGATCTTCCTCGCCTTTAAATGTTAAAGTGTTTACTCAATTTACCTATAATGATTGCTCTTGGATAAAGCTGCCTCAGATTGTATATTATAGTTTTTTATATTGTAATATCTGCTTCTGTGAATATATCACTGCTTCCTATCAATATCAGTTGATTGAGAGTCTAATTACCTTTCTTAATGATTGTAAAGTCAGATTTCTTGAGGCAGTTGTGAATCACACTATCAGCGCCCTCAAGGAGCTTGATGCAAGACTACAGAAGATATTAGGCTGATATAATGTTACTGAGAAAAACTCATTGAGTTTTATAACTCGCTTCATGAATTAAAATTCTTATTAATTAAAACTAGTTTTGGATTTATCAACATTCTTTATGTAAGCATTTATTCACTCATGGGGTTTTGGGGTTTTGGGGTTTTGGGG